TAATTGTTATTATCTTTCTTTCTGTCATTTAATGTAACTAAATTTACATTAAATGAAATTAAAGTAAAATTACACTTAATTTTTTATTTAATGCAATTAAAATATAAATATTGCTTGTTTAAAGAATATCATATTTATCAATATTTTAAATTTTCTTACGTAATTGTCGAGGAATATTTCATTGAAAATAATATGATATATGCTATACACATATCATAATTTTATTTTATCACTAATCTCATATATATTAAAAAATACATAGGCAAATTCATCTATCTCTAAATTTGTGTCGACTCGACTATTAATTAAAGATGGAAAATATACGAGTGCAATTAATTCAATTAGAAGTTTTAGAAATAGGCCAGTGGAAATTGTAGGAAATTACGATGTACGTATGAGAAATATATGTAAAAAATGTTAATTAAATTCTAATAAAATATAATAAAATATTCATTAAATATATTTTATATAATTAAAATGAAAAGAGTAACGAAACTGTAAAATATAACACTCATAATGTCATTATAATGTAGCTATTTTAACGACATTATTATTGAAAGTAACCATAGTGACGATAATATTTATTTAATCAGAACGTCTATAAAAAGATGGTAAATGCTTAAAGATATAAAGAGGCTGATTTAATATATTTCTCATTATGCTACTGTAAACAGAAAATACATATTTGAGCTGTACCACAAATCAATCCGAATGACAAAACGAGTTTGGTGGTCGACGCGGTCAATTGCGGTCAGTTGCGCGTTTTTCAAGTTAGATGACATGCACATAAGACGTACAAGATTGCTGTTATCTCCCGTAAGATTATATAAAAATACAGAGCATCTGCGCTGCAGAAAGTGACGAGAAATAATACGCGATAGAAATAAAAGGAGATACGAGAGCGCGAGATGCGGATAGTGTGCTTGAACAGAGATTGACCTCGGCAACGTAAAAAATTATAAGCTTTAGTTGCCATCTTATCGCGTTCATATCACCATTTCAAAGCAACAAATACGACCGTTATAACTAGATCGCTGCGAAATGCAGAGAAGTAGAGTGACTTATTAAATAATCTGTTGTTCGTACGTCGAAACGAATAATATTCGATTTTCGCGTATTGTAAGATAATCTACGTGATTCATCTTCCTTTTATTCTTTCGCTGCGAATGCGCATTGTGGAACAAAATTGTGATATCTTTTTTTCGTCTGTATTTTTCAGTGAGTGATCAGCATCTCGCAGACGGCGAGGTGAAGAAACAAAAGATACCGCTAAACATCGATACCAACATGCTGAAGATCGGTTTCCTCGGCGGGGGAAAAATGGCCCAGGCGCTTGCTAAAGGTTTTATACGAGCGAGTAAATAGTTTTTCCTATGTATATATTTTTTAATGACATATAATTTTTATCATTTAATGTTACACATTTTAATGACATACAGACTATCAGTTATATTGATTTGATCAACAAAACTGAAAACATCTCGGAATGTTTTTCGTATTTTCTTATTTCACGAAACTTCTCTTATTTTACAGATTTAAGCAAAGGCGAAATGATACTGGCTAGCTGTCTTCCAAATGATACCGGCAGTATTGAAACTTTTAAGGTGAGATCATAAACAGTTTATCACATAAGGAAGATTCCGATAATAGATCAAAAGATGCTTCTTTTGTTCGTAATATGTTATTTGATAAGAATACCGCCAGTGATAAGGTGTGATTTCTCATCGTAATGAATCCATGGTAATAATCGGAGATGTAAATTCTTTGCGATATCTAATATTAAAAATATTTAATAAAGAGAGAAAGAACATTCGCGTTTTATATCACAATATTTTATGAGACTTTGAAATTGATAGATTAACTTGATCAAAACATTTATATATTATGATCAAAAGTCAATATTTTATACATTACATTTGCGAAGAAATATAAAAAAAAAATACCAAGTTTAAATGTTTACTGAAAATTCAAAAATAAATAATAAACATTATACATGTAACAATTAAACATTTTAGAAAAAAGATAAAAAGATTGTTAACACTCTCTTAATCAAACTAATGTGTTTAAACTATAAAATAAAGTCATGAAATGCCAGAACATTCACTCATCGTATAAAAATGATATAACAGAGACATCAAAATTATTTTGGGATAAATAGATCCAAACAGACTAACAGGGTTAATAAATTATCATGATAAGACATAGTTTTATAATTTCTATATATTCTAATCGCGCATGTATCAAATATTTATCGGTGATTATTGATCGAAACATTTTCAAACATTTTGTATTTATATTATTATCATCTGTGCGCGAATTCTATAATTGTATCTACAAATTCTATTTATATATATCATGATACAAGACTATGAAATGTTCATCTCTATTTAGCTATATTTTCACTTGTGAAAACTGTGATCAAACTGAGGAAGGGAGGTGTGCCTCCCAACAAGCGACACAAATGACACGGTGTGACACAATGGATCATTACATCCTTGTTTTTTGCCAATGTTAAGCAAAGATGACATGATCACTGTATCGCACTGTATCGCTTATTAGAAAGCACACAAGATCTAATAATCTACAAAACTTTCTATATGTAAGGCACTTGTTAATATAAGACGTTTGCTAATATTAGTAGAGAAGCAGGACTAGTTAAAATAATTGATATAATTTATTGAAAAAATATATATAAAATAGATTCCAAAAACTTATTTACGATATTAAATAAGAAATGTTTAAAGAAGTTATTTAAAATAATAAATACTAAATAAATCATTTTTTATTTAAAACATATATTTTAAATAATTTTATTTTAAATATAATCAAGCCCTAATAGAGAATATAGGTGTAATGTTATAATACATACGTTTACATTACATTACTTTGTGTTTAATTCAGAATACCCTCAGAAAAATCACAGTGATTTTACATAAGTGAAAACACTTTATACTTTACACAGTGATTTAAACTTAGATGATATCAAATATATCAGATATGCGTGAAAGAATATATGAACAGATAGTAATAGTCTTACATGTTTTGATAGAAGATGATGTCATTAATATCTCAAGACGATTATCAAGATAAAACTGTACATAATATGACGATAAAATTATATGAAAAAAATATTTTATAATAATCAAATTTTGATAAAGAAAATGTCTATTTCCACATAATAAATACCACACTGTTAAATGTATTATTACATGTGTCAAAACCTATATATCTAATTCAACGTTTCAGAAAATGGGATCAAGTACTGTTTTTGCGAATATACCTGTCATCGATTTCAGTGACGTGCTAATCCTTTCGGTAAAACCGCAAGTTGTACCAAAGGTATTATCAGAATTTAGAGTAGACGACAACAAGAAGTTAGTCCTTTCCATCGCCATGGGCATCTCTCTGAAATCACTAGAAAAGGTAACACAGCTCTATCATCGAACAAAAATTTGTTAATGCATTATGGCTTATGATAAAAGAGATTTTTAAAGGAAAAAAAAAGAACAATGTTGTTATACTACAGAGAATATTTTCAGGCACTGCCAAAAGAAACGCCCGTGATAAGAGTAATGCCGAACACACCTGCATTAGTTGGCTGCGGTGCTACGGTGTTTGCGCGTGGAAAATGTGCGAGTGACGAAGATGCGGAGATCGCAGAAAAACTATTTTGCTCCATAGGCACCTGCGAAGAAGTCCCAGAATATTTCATTGATCCTGTAACTGCCTTGGCCGGTTCCGGTCCTGCCTATGTGAGCAAACATTCCAGTTTTAATTTTTTAATTAGTTGTGAACAATCTGCTGTAATGTTTTTATAAATAATTATTGGAATTAAATTTAAAAGATAGAGAAACGAAAAGTGAGTTTTATATTTTTACGGGTTTTTTTAATCGTATAATTCGCGTTATTGATCTTTCTTTTTATTTTTAAATTATCAAGTCTATTTTTTTCCATCTTTAAGAAAATGACTATTATTATAATGAGAAATGAAAATCTTTAGATATTATAATGAGAAATGAAATTCTTTAGATATATATGGTAATCGAAGCAATGGCCGATGGTGGAGTTAAAATGGGACTTACTAGGCCTATTGCGTATAGGCTCGCTGCACAAACTGTCTTAGGTGCTGGTGCAATGGTCCTCAAGACAAACCTCCATCCAGGACAGCTCAAGGATGACGTAACTTCACCAGCAGGTTAGAATTTGCTTATATTAATTAAAATCTCTATTTTTTTTCAGCCACAATATATATTTTACTTTTTCATCTGCAGGCTCGACCATAGCTGCTATTCATCAATTAGAAAAGTATGGCTTAAGATCGGCATTAATCACCGCTATAGAGGCAGCAACACTTCGATGTAAAGAAGTTAGTTTACAGGCCAACAAGAATTCATAATTATTGTTGTATTGACATTTTAAAGAAAGATATCAGGAGATACGATAATTTCTCGATATAAAATAACATAGATAACGTAGATATTTTTTGTTCAAAGAGTATCAAATGAGATATAATAATTACACTTGAAGATACCAGTTAATTCTTCACTGGATTTTAAGATGACATTTGAGATATCCCTATTTTACATTAGGGATATATTTATCAATTTTGTTAATTATTTAAAGAATAATCACATTAGTGTGATAATTTGCTAATTAACACAAATAATGTGATAATGACCTTGTGATAATTTGAAATTTTAAGGAATATATATTATTTTTATTATTATTAAACTGTAGTTGCAGTTTAAAATACTGCTGTTGGTCTCTCTGATATAATGTCGGTAGGAACTATTTTATAAATAATTATTTAAAGTATTAGTAGATTTTCTTTTAATCATTTGGAAATCTTTTAGTTTTGAGAAATCAAAAATATAGATCTGATACTAAATGATAATAAAAGGTTCAATCCATTTGGCGCTACAAATGCTTTGAAGCATCAAGTTGTGTTGTAGTCAATGACTTTCAACACATTTGTACAAGTTGACACTATTTTTACAATGTAATATAAACCATTTAGGCTGTAATTAATATAGAGTAAAAATTATATTGTACTCTTATAAAAACATATAAAAGTACTTATTTTAATTTTTTTAAATAATTGTAAAAATATAAGTGATTAAAATGTCTAAACAAGACTGACACTTAAAAATTATTGAGATAATATAAGGAAATTTTATATATTCCTATTAAAATTTATACAAATATATATTCTTTATTCTATTCAAACTAATTTTTAATTACATTAATTAATTTTTAATTGTACATTTAATTGTATTTTGAAATATTTCTTAATATTTGATTGCATATATCACATAAAGGATTAAATGAATAAATGTTAAAAAGCTTTTTTGTTATTGTGTCATTTAATATTTTTTAAATTTTAATTTTGAATAATTTTAATGTTTGTAATCATTAGGCACCAATGTGAAATATTTTTCTATATTCAACAAATTCATTTCTTGCATTCTTTATCTCAACTAACATTCGACATCAATTTCTTTTCCTTAGCTTGCACACGTTTAAAACTAAGATTGAATTCTGTCTTAAACATTTCTCTATAATAACTTTCCTTCACTATATCACTCTCAGGTACATCTGTCTGTTTGCACTTTAACACATAGGATTTATGCATTGTGGCTATGTTTAGATTTGCGTCCAAATAACATCTACCACTATGATCCTTAGGATCTGTCGATTTTTCAGATGGAAAAGATCTAATATGTTCGCGCACTCGCTCTTTTATGTCCTCACTTTTCTTAGTTTTTGGCGCGTGCCTACCTCTTTGGTCCGGTTCGATGATACCACTTGTTGACATTCGTTTCTTCTCCATCACATGTCGCACGAACTTTTCAGATACTGCAAACGTGCTGAGAAACATTGACTTGCACACAGTGATGAATTCACCCTTCAATAAGAGAGAGTACGTGAAGGTCACCTGCCGGCATCTCGAAGAACGCTCTGGCTGAACATTGTTGCGCAATCGAGTACGTTGTTTCGGAGATTCTTTGACAGATTTAGCGATATATTGCTTTCGCTGTTGCCACGTATAGATCCTCCAAAAGGACTTGTGCAATTCCTCGCGTTCCTTCTCATCTATCTTCTCCGCACAATGCATGCGACAAACGCAGGGATGTCCCATCTTTTTAGCTGGCACTATTTTGCCTGAAAAACACGAATTATTAATTTTTTGTCTATTAATCCAATCTGTTTATCGTCTCTGTATTTACCTCCGACCCCAATGTATTCTTCCCCCTTTAATCTAGCATTTTTCTTCAAATTTACTTTCCAGTTTTCAGGTTGCTTTATACGTTTCATAGATTCTTTTTGTTCCTTTAATGGTTTTGTATTCTTTCTCTGCTTAAACTTAACTGAACTTTCTACGAAATCTTTATTACTAACTGACAGTGGATCTTGTGACTCATCTATTGTTTGTAAATTCAGTGTATCTCCTGTAATAACAATGCAATTGCAATAAAATCTAATAGAAATTGGAATAAAAAACGATCAAACTCCAATTAACACAATCAGCACTATTTTATTAATACGATTAAGGTATTGTAAAAAGATTAAGAATTAATTATGTGTTACAGATTTTGTCTTAAGTGGTTCTGTCCATTGAGTTAAATAAATTAGTGTTTGATCGAAGTATAGCCTTAAGCATCAATCTCTGTAATAACTTTAAGTTATTGATAATTTTATACAATCTTATGTTGCAAGACTTATCTGGAAAAAATATAGTAAAAATGTACTTATTAACAGATAAGTTTCTACAAGTCCAGCTTCAGAGTTCGGGATAAATCGGGATGTAAGATTTGCATCCCCAGTAGCGCCTTTTAACCATGCTGCATTCATTTGTAATTTGTTTGAATTTTCCACTGACACTAAATATTAACAAGAGAAAGTGATGATAAGTGTCTGATCGGAACTCGGAGATGAGCGAATATATAAACGAGTTTGAATTTACCCATGTTGTTAGCGCCATGCTTGTAGAATACAACCGAGTGTTGAATTTCCTGCTGTCTATCTACATTCTTCTCTGTCAACCATTCTTCTACCTTCGTGTGCTCTTCTAGCAGATTCGTTTCATCCGCATCCTGCTCCATTCTGCGCGTCACATCTTCCACAATTAGTGGATTCGTGTTTCGAACCTTGTGTGTCGCGAAACGAAGGCAAATTTCGCGAAACGTCACAGCGTGATCGAAAACAATAAAGAAAGATAAGCGAGCGTAAAGGCTAAGTCACGTTCTGTCGAGGGACAATTTGTAGCGCTGTAGGATCCGAGTGTTTGTGATCGCGAAAACGTCGTAGATGTTCCTCTGCACTGATCAGAGTTGACTCGACATAGATGAATTTCAAAGAGGACGTGTTATTCGTAGCACAACGACACGACGAGATCATCATAGGATGTGTATTTCGTTACGCGCGCAATATTGTGTGATAGATTGTCACCTGCTGTCACTGTGGAATCTGGTGTACTTGGTCACTTGATGTGATATGGAATCGTCGATTTTAGTGAGATTATTTACTTCTCAGATTCAGAAGGCAACCTCAAAGGCAATCTCGTGCACTAACGACCTCTCAAGATACGCGGCTAAAGCGAGAACCAACAATTGGAGAAAAACGCGTAAAAACAAGAAAAATTGCAGGATTAAATTGCAAAAAACTTCAATTCGAATTCTAATTACAATATTAATAAAACAAATCATAAAAATGCAAAATTCTGTGCGTGTGACATTCATTATTCATATCATATTAAGTTTTTTTTTCAAAATTTGAGAACATTTGGCAATAAACATTAATATATTTAAAAGTATTAGTTTCGTATTCCTCTTAACTTTGTCTCATTAAGGTCCTTTTTATTAACTTTAATCTCGATTTTACTCACTCTTTATTTTTTTTCTAATTCTTAGAACTGGAAAAAGAAAATAAGTTAAACCGAGATTAAAGTTAATCTCTACATTGATAGAAATGGATATATATACATATATCCATTTCTATCAATGTAGATTATATATATATAT